TTCAGCATGAAGTGAAAATAAAATAAACAGAAGTTAGCCATGTAACATCAGTTTTTTTTTTTAATGAATATATATATATCATCAAGATGTAGAAGAGTTTTGATTGAAATAATCTTCTAACTTTGTTTATTGCATTTTGTTTTCTTCTCTTAAGGGTGGGGCGATGTTACTTTGATGTGGAGACAGATCGGAAACAGAGGTAAAAAAACATTGCGAGAAAAACAAGTACGTAGAATATTCTTAGAAACTGAAAGGAAAGCCAAGTTACAAAGGAAAGGTAAATGAAAAGAACGATGGAGCGAACAATTGATGCGATTAAATAGAATTGAATAGGTCGTCGTCGACATCGTCGCCAGCAACTGTCTATCTGAGCGCATTAAAACTTCTTGAACGTATTTTTTTTTTTTTTAATTTCGTTTTACTTTTTTTATATATTTAGGAATAACAACTCTGTAAAAACAGGGTAAGTCAAAATAAACCACTTAAGAAACAGTTACCAACCAGAAATCATCGAAACATTGACATTAAAAAAGAAAAAATAATCGAATTCGCCAACAACATTTAAGAAGCGGCAACAGGCGGCGTTGGAAAAAAAATAAGAAGTGGGTAAAGAATTTAAAAGATGGTCTAAAGGCGAAATAAATAAAAAATTATCAGCAAAAAATTAAAAAGCTAATTTTTTTATTTATTTTTTTTATTGATTCGGTGAATATTATCCTGAAGGAAAAACAGGAAAAAAAAAAACAAAAAAAAAAAAACAGTAAACATTTTTTATTTTATTCAATCAGCATCTCTTGAAAATATGAATTGACATTTAAATTTAAAAAAAAAAAAAAAATTGTAAAGCCTGAAATCGAACACGTTTCACATCTAACTGAAATTATTCACAGCTTTATGGTGGGGACTTGGAATGGAGGTGGGGTCAAATCTTTTGATTTTTTTTTCTTAAAAAAAAAAAAAAAGAAGATATTTGTCTTCTTGATGGCAAACTCAACTGCCATTGTTATTTTAAAAATAAAACTAACATTTTTTTTATCGAAAAGTTAGCTTCTAAAAATATTTTTTGCGAAAAAAAACAAAACAAAAAAAAAAAACAAACAAACGAACATTAAAAAAAAAACAAAAAAAAATCTGATTTATCATTTATTCCCTTACGACTTTTTTTAATTTGTGGGGCTGTGCCCGTAAAAATATATACTTTTATTTTGATAAATTAAAGTAATTCAACATCAAAATAATAAATGTTGACCTAAAAAAAACTATTATTTAGTGCAGAATTTAAAAGCAAACAAGTGCTTTTACAAAACATTAAACAATGAACTGATTGAAGAATTAATAATGCCACTCGGTACCAATGTACCGATTATTCGGTGTCGTTTAAATCGAGAACTCTGATCAAGGTAACACAGATCTGAAGATGACACACAAAAATAAAAAATAACAAAGTCTATATTGATGATAACAAGGTCAAAGAACGTGTCTAAATATACGAGTCAGTCACAAATATATATATACTAGAGATTTTTTTGCTGACGCCTGTTGAAATCCTAACAGTGTTTAATATTGTTGAAGATAACATTTTTGGTCGAAATTTACAAACTCAACGTTACGTTCAATTTCGAAAACCATAAAGAAAAGATACGCAAAAAAACAAAATTGCATTTTTATTAAATAATTATTTGTTATTTTCATTATTGTTTTTAAAACAGTGGGAAATTTTTGTATGTTAAATAATAAAACTTGATTTCCCCCCGCAAAATTAATGAAAATTGATTACACTAAGCTACGCACCTTAGTAAAATCAACTGTATTTTGTACCCCCCTTTTTTTTCACTTCTCCCCAAAATTTGATCTCGATAGGTCAATGTATGGTTATTTCGAAGGGTGTGGCAGACAGACGAACGGAAGTCAGAGAATTTTATATACCCTACTCTACAGGGTGAGGCAAAAGTCGCGCACCATAGGACCAATTTATTAAAAGTATAATTACACATAAAAAAATAATTATTAGTTATTTAATTGTTATATATATACTGTTTACAATGTCCTCATCCTTTTTCAAAACATAATTCAGTTCTATACTTGAATGATTCATTAACATGTCGGAGAGTTTCCGCCATAACTTTACTCAGTTTACTGCATTCATATTTAATCCTTTTTTTAATTTCTTCAATATTTCTTAGGGGCGTTTGATAAACAACTGATTTCAAATGGCCCCACAGAAAAAAAAATCCGAGGGTATGAGGTCTGGTGACCTCGGTGACCACTCAACAGGACCTCTTCGACCTATCCATTAATCACTACAGTGTGCGATTTTTGCCTCATCCTGTGTAAATTAAAAATAGAATAATTCTTGCTCAACGAAAAGTAATTCTTGTTTAAACGAAATTTTCGATAAAAAGTACAAAACATGCTATTATTACCCGAGTTCGAATTCCAGTCAAGTTCATTGCATTCACTTACGTGCTAAAATACCTTTGGGAAAGGTATGAACCAAAATCTCCCCCAACTATAGGTAAATGGCAGGGGTTCTATAGCCTTGGGTGGTAGCCGCTCTAGGAGAAGAAAAACTGTGAATTCAAAAGTGTAGCTCTGGGGAAGCACATGCTATGCAGCTAAGGAAAGGGTCATATTGACTTGATGATCCCTTCTACGATCGACCCCTTAACAGACTGCGTCCAGTAGCCTTGGGTGGCAACTGGTCTAGGAGCATGTAGCCATGGCGAAGCACATAATATGAAGCTAAGGAAAGGATCGTTTGCATAGACTCGATGAACCTGACTACGGTTAACACACACACTTCAAAGTTCAACCAGTTCGTTTTTAGAATCTCTTCTCTTGGACAGACCGAGAGCTTTTCAGCAACATTCTATATATATATATATATATATATATTATTATTATTATTATTATTATTTTCTCTCTCTAGTCAATGGTACAGATACCGCCCCCACCACACACACACGCAAAAAAAAAAAAACTTTAAAATTCTACAAACCGAAAATGTCAATTTATACACATTTTAATCTAAATAAAATCTTTACCAACAGGACAGTAATCTAGTGCAGGGTTTTCAAACAGGGGGGTCCGCAATGACAAGATAGGGGGTCCGTGGACAGCAAACACTTTTTAAGGGTGACGTGCAACTTATAAGCGCTTATGAGTAGGCTGATCATGAAATAAATTGGTTCAATAAACTATTTCATAGATTTGATATACTAATATAATTTGTATCTTAAATTGATAAAGATAATGGATTCTATTCATGCAGAGAAGGAACCAAAGGATTTGAATTTTGGATCTATTTTGCAATTTCCGGCTTTCTCATTGGCTGTTAGGCATTTGCATTAATGCAAAATTATATGTTATGTATAAATTTCATAAGCATTTATAAGGGGGTCCCTAAGGTAAAGCCTGAAATATAAAGGGGTCCGCAAGTCAAAAAGTTTGAAAACCCCTGATCTAGTGGATTAAAGTGTTAGTTCGTGAATATAGTGACTTATAGTGGCATAGTAATTGTAAGTTCAATCCCTGGAACGGGACTGAACTCACTGCTTGGACTATTGGGTGAGCGATACCCAAATAGTATTAAAAATAAGAACTAAAAGAGATATCCATGTGGAACAAGAACACTCTACCCCCACCCCGCCCCGTAGATTAAATAAAAGGTCCAGTTCGGAATTCCCTGAAGGTTGATCATCATACACCTGATGAAGGCCGGAGAGCACAACGGCTGAAAGGTTCTGATAACAACAAAAATGCGGACAATGGTGAAGTAAAGGATAGCGGTTAGGATTGAGGAATCGGAGTGCAGAGTTCGAATTCCAGTCGAGTTCATTGCATTTACTTACGTAAGGGAAAGGTACGAATCCATCTCTTCTCCCCCCAGCTATGGATAAATAGCAGGACAGACTGGGTTCTGCCTAGGAGAAGGAAAACTAAATTTAAAACTGTATGTGACCCTGGCAAAGCACATACTATGCGCCTAAGGAAAAGATCGTTCGCATTGATTTGATGATCTCGACTACGATCGACTCCTTAACAAACTGTGTCCTGTAGCCTTGGGTGGCAACCGGTCTAGGAGAAGGAAAGCTCTGAATTTAAAACTGTATGAAGCCCTGGCGAAGCACATACTGTGCAGCTAAAGAAAGGATCCCGACTACGGTCGGCTACGGATATAGCCATGGCGGGCACCTGCATTAGTTTTGTCTGTGATGATCAGTACGCTTTGTAGTGGAGTTCTTACGATTCAGTCCTGTGTGTCCAAATTCCAGCCCTCCCCCCCCCAAAAAAAAACTCTGAATTCAAAACTGTATGTACCCCTGGCGAGGCACAAACTGCAGCTAAAGAAAGTATCATTCGTATTGACTCGATGATACCGACTACGGTCGAAATAATGTATAATTATGCATTTAATTTTTGAGATGATTAAATTAATTGTCAATAATATACATTAAATACTTCGAACTATTCTCATCTTAGTTGTTACAGATGCAATGTTTAGGCTACCTACCCTCTAACAAGGAACACCTGATGCTGGCCAGAGGGTACGTGGTCGAAACGTTTTTTTCTATAATAACACCTGTAACAATCAACAGGCAAACAATTCGAAATAACTAAAGAATATGACTACAGTCATTTATAAATATCGTTTTGAATACACATTGGGTAATTAGAATTTTTATTTGTAAATTTGCATATGATTTAAATTACGAAATAAATTGATCACAGTGAAATTAGGGCAGATATTTGCAAAAAGACGAGATGTAGAGCCGTGACTATACCCCCCACCCCCACCCACGTCCTCCCAGTTCCGGAGATGGGTGGGAGTACAAGGACAATGAATTTCTTTTTTATTCTTTTTTTTTATTTCTTACTTTCATTGTGGTCAGTTTACGGCCGCATCACGTTGAAAAATCGGTTCCCGTGCGATCACTGAAGTTAAGCAACGGCGGGCCTGGTTAGATGGGTGACCGTTTGGGAATACCAAGTGCTGTAAG